GTACTCCTCGGTTGTCCTTCTGAGCGGTAGGATTTAGGCACAACCTGTGGACAGGGCCTCAGTCTCTCTGTTTGAGTCCCGCACTGCGCATGCGCCGGGCTCAGCTTCCCAGCTTTACTTTCTTCCCCCGGCCCTCCTATAGGCACATGATGCCTGTACATGTAAGTAATGTGATGTATGCAAGTAATTAAATGTGGCGGACGGGTGCGGCTATATAATTAAAAATTTTAGTGACGCGTGTGGGTAATCTTATTGTAATTGAGGTATGAGAGCAATGCAACCGGCACATAAAGATTGAGGAAAGATTGACACCTTACCAGTCTGTTCAGCCGTCGTCGCATAGAGCTAACTAATAACAGAGTCTTGACAAGTCTGGAGATAAGAGAATTTCTCTAATTTTCCCTCTATCTAAACGCTCCCGGCGTAAATTGTAATTTGGCGATGTCTGACGGTTTCTTGATAAAGCTGCCTCCTGTTCGTTTTTCTTGTGCTTATGCTTATGCTTATGTCGAACGCGTTACTAGTGAAAACTGCACGAGACAAATAAGTGGGTTCGTTCTTCTTATGTTTCTGCTTATGCTTATGTTTATGTCGTGGCTGTTTTCACTTGTGCTTATGCTTATGCTTGTGCTTGTGCTTATGCTCTAGTGAAAACCAGCCTTATAGGAGACAACTGTTTATCAGAAACTCCTGATTGTTGATATCTGTGACATCTATATATAAGAGAGAAAAGCGGCAATTCATCGAGTTCTATTTGCCTTCTTAATGTCAATACTTAATTTATTATCCCTTATATTGAATGTTATATACATTTCTTCAAATTTGCATACCATCTTTGAATACAAAAAAGCGGTTTTGAAGTGATTCACTGAACAGAGTATGCAAAAGCTTGTTTGACAACAACAGACAATAAGCTATCACTCTTCGCATACAAAATACCCAGAACATACAGGAGTTCATAGATAATTTTCCATATCACTCTGTTATCTAACCATATGCCCATTTGTTTACTTATAAGGGAGTTTATAAAGCTTAACAATTTTCTTTCACTGTTGACAACTCAATCTTGACTTTTAATAAATACTAACTATGAATAGATGAAACATTCTTCATCTTCCTTTAGTCGTTTGGTCGGCTCCATAAAGATTAGCCTTTTAGCATAACCCTTTGTTTTTTCAGGGAGTCTGTTGTAACTTTAAGATTTAATTGCCGGTTTTATGATCCTTTAGACAGACATAAATGGCAATAAATTTCAACGTGTTTGTAAAGGTCAACATTGCGTGTCAAGACAATACTTTCAACTATTTTTACCCGATATTGTCTTCAGTTCAGTTTCTACGTTGTTTATCGTTCCATCAGTTCGCTGGGAGTCAAACTTTACGAGGCACACACACACGCGTTATTAAGTTTCCATTCAGTCGGCGTTTGCCATGATCGCAGGAACGAACGCTTCGTAGTTTATTTCGCCCTTGGAACTCACATGCCCTGAAGACAAAGTATCAAATTCCTCGTCTGTGAGCTTCTCTCCCAAAGAAGTCAGAACATGGCGTAGCATACTAGACGAAATACACCCGCTTCCCTCGCGATCGAAATGCTTAAAACAATCCACGACTTGTTCAGGGGTTGCTTTTCTGGTCACGCTGGCCATGTGCTGAGCGACAGAGTTGTAGATCGGCAAGAATTCTTCGAAGGAAACACTTGACTTACCAACGTCGCGTTCCAATTTGTGAACTTCACTCTGTGTTGGGTTCAGCCCGGCCGCTCTTAGAACCTGCCCGAGTTGAGTGACGTCAATCTTATCCCCTCCCGTGGTGTCGTAGAGTTGGAAAATCTCTTTGAGCATCCCTTCGTCTCTCAAGACTGTCCTACCACTCATTTTTGATGCCGCACGGAAAAACCCTGTGAACAACTCTCTTAGCTATCAGAGATAAGAATGCAGACTCAGTGAAGCCTAATAGCATAGGGACTTCGGACTCACGTGACCAGTGTCAAGGGCTTGGTATCCTTTATTCTGTATTTAGCTTTTCACTTCATTGCCGACATTTGTGAATTCATT